TGGGAACTGATCTCATTTAGGAAATCATTGAGAGGAGATGAGTCTGAGGACTTGATTCTATCTTATCTTGACACACCACAGTTAATAAAGGAAGGCAATTATTATGTTTTCTGGGATGTACCCTCCTCTGAAGCATTGTTAATAAACATTAAAGGGCTAGTTCTTCAAAGGTGTTTAAGCACCTAGCTCCCATTGATTTCAATAAAATGAGGCATCTAAGTGCCTTTAAAAATCTGACCTTAAGTGTCATCAGGAAGAAGTGAAGCAAAAGATAAGCAGGCTCTAAAAGAATAAGGGACTATAGGCATATGATTCTGGAGTGCTCCTGGTTATTACATTTTTTATATGTATGGAGTGTCTGCACATTATAAACCAAACAAAGATACAAACAAACCATCCCCACCTATACTGCAAAAAACATCAAATTGCTCTCACTTCTTCAGTCCTGCCTCAGACATTTTTACAAAACATGCTGTATGGATTGAGATAAAAAGTGAGAAAACAACAAACCCAGCAGTATCCCCTCTGCTCCCTTCAGCCTGTGTGACACAGCCCCCCTCTCCCAGGGCCAGGCTTGCCCCTCCTTCCCTTCCCCAGTGTACTTAGTGAGCTGGAGGGGTTTGTTCACCCGACTCTGTGTGACAAGGAAACAGTTGGTCACAGCCCTAATTACAGATGCTATTTCTTTATACTCAAACATATTCTTTCAGTTAGAGGAAAATACCTAGCTCTCAAGATTAGCCTTATCAAGAAGGTACAGTAGGTATGACATAGTCCCAATGTGATAAATAGATAGACAGACAGCAGTGGCAAGCAAATGTTAACTTTTTTTTTTTTTTTCTTTTTGAGGAAAAATCTTGAACTAGAAAATATCATGTTGGTTTGTCACTATCTTTTCAGGTTTGTTGCATTTTAATACAAAATAGAAAGTGAGAGGTAACGAGGTTGCCTTGCTGTTTGTTTCTTTCATGTTAAGCCAACTATACTGCTTATCTACTTCTTGATAAATATTGCTCAGCTACTTCTCTTTGAGATTAAGTAAATGAAAAAAAAACCCCTCCACAGATAACAATAATTCCCACAGAAGAGATTTTTAAATTTAAAGGCTAAACTGAAATTTAAAATGATTTTCCTGGATTTCCGACCTAGATTCCCTGTCTTATTCTCAGTGCATTTGTCCTTTTAAAGGAACCAATATGTTTGTATAACTGATGTGAAACAAGCTTGACTCCAAAAAGATTTAACTTAATATCTGGCTAAGCATTCAGAGGGTAGTCCATCTGTAGAATGTACATTAAGGACCCTGGCTGGAGCGCAGCGAGTCATGTATGATATCAGGCACACAAATGTGACGTGATGCCCATGTACTCTTGAGCATAATTCAAAGTGCCATGGAGCTCTATGGGTAGAGAAGCTATAAACACAGTTGTCACAAATGAGAAAGTCTACAGGGTTATATTCAGGCTGAAGAATGAAGAAGCATTAGAACCAGCCATCACATCTTAATGAAATTGTTAATTAGGATATTATGGGATTCATAGCTGAAGATAATATCTCTCCAGCAACCTTGCAGCATGCTTTAATTAACCATTTCTTCTCCAAAATCGAAGGCAGACTCAAAAGGGGTGCAGAAAGCCCTTCATAAATATACAAATACAATCAAAATGATGTTACTTTTTTTTCTCAGTGGATGTTTTTAATCTTTTTTTTTTTAATTTCTAAACAGACCAGCACAGAACATGTGATTATAGGAATAAGTACACATTTAATCTACATAATCATCAGTCTTTCTTTATGTAAAAATGATTAGTAAATAGGGTTTTTAAGCAACAATTTAGATTAGGCATTGGCATCATAGATTAACTTATTTCTAAAACACTTGATTTTATCACTCTGCCTAATGATTTGTCTCATGATTTATTGGCTAATATGATGAATCATGTTAGATTTATTGTTTATCCTATAAATAGCGCAACAAATCATTAAACAGTGATAAAACCCAGCAGTTTCACAAGAAAGTCTACCTATGTTGTTTTCATGTACAATGTGCTTGTGCTGTACAATAATTTGATGGTTCTGTTTTCAGTTTTATGATATCAGGTGAATAGGCATCTCTGTTTAAATTAAATGGTTTTACAAAATAATAGTGAAGTCATAATCTTATACTCCTGCTATATTTATTTTATACAGAAAAATAAAGTCTAACGTTTGATGTATAGTAAATCTGTGAATTTATTCACGAGAATAAATGTAATATTCTTTCTTAGAAACACCTTAAATATAATGGCATTTTTTCATATTTCAGTGTGTCAGCTGTGTTTTTCTTGCTAGGGTTTCGTGTTGCAGCTGACAAAAATGTTGCTTCTATCCTGGTGATTTTAGAAATCTAAGCCCATCTCATTTTACTGATCTGAAAGGGTGGTGTAGGATATTGGTGAACTGAGGATATGAAATTTGGCATTCAGATAATGGGAGTGGTCATTTTTTTTCTTAAGACATAATGGCTTCTCTTGTTGCAGACAGAGCCAAGTCTGCCTGTATACATTAGGGATGAAAGGACAGAAAATAGAAGTAATATTCTTGGAAACTCCCTGAGGTCATCAGTGGGTTAGAATAGACGCACTCATGATGATATTATATGCTGCAGGAGTAGATTTGCAGTATTTCAAATTGAATTATTTGGACTGTAGTGGTCAACCTTTATTGTAGTATAAGTAGGCTATTTACCTTCTTTTGATCCCAAGGAATTGCCACACCCTGTCTCCCCTCACCTGTTGCAGAAAAGCTTGTGCCTTCAGATCCATCGTTTTGTACACAGCCTCCCCCGAAATACCTGTGAAGTGTGGTGTGCAAGGACGCCTCCCCAGCACTTTGAAAATCCAGGCTATACGGGAAACATCAGTCTTTTGTTCATCCTTGGATGCAGAGTCCTGAGCTGGTGGAGCTGTGCTGTCCCCTCCCAAGGGCAGCAGATTTGCACGGCACAGGTGACATTTGTGCACAGCCCACCAGTTCTGAACGAGCCCAGGGCTGGTGACATGAGAAGCGCAGAGGGAAACAGCACCTGAGAGCCAGTGCTGCTGCTGCTTGTCCCTGATGTTCTGATTGCCCTGGATGAAAAGGGTCAATGGGAACGGAGCATGGCTCAAATGCCATATCCTACCTGGGCAGCTGCATGGTGCCTGAGGCTGTACCCAGGCACTTGTCTTATGCAGCTCCTTTTTTTTGCACGTCACAAGAACTTGATCTGTGTGAGAGGGAACAAAATGGGATGAGCAATAAGATGAAACAAAGGATCAAAGAATAAACCTGTGACAGCTTTTTAACAAGCACAGCTCTTCTCTGGCCACTGTGAGGTCAGCTTCGTTGGTTACTTGATTTGCTTGTTTAGCACAATGGTCAATTATGGGGAATTTGGATATTGATTATTTGCACTTGGCCATAGGTGCTGTGCAGCCTGGGCACTTGGACTCATCTTCTATGCCAGGTGCCTGTTCAGCTGCTTGTTCCAGCCTGTAGTAGACTCTGAACACAAATTGGCAGAATCTATGCAGCAAGGCTCTGAAAATCATCTCCAGTGATCCAGAAAGCCTCATAGCAAGCAGAAGAAGTCCTGCTCCTTGTCACTGTGATTATGGAGATGCAGGAAGCAGGTATCCATGTGTGGCATGGCCTAACGAAGAAAGTGTGCCTTGTTTGTTAACTAACTGAGCATGTCCCTTCACTGCCCTGATAATAATTCCTCCTCTCAGGTTTTCACAAGGAAACTGCCACAGTGCCTAAGATGCACCACGAAGAATAACATGCTTTTTCCGTGTTTTGGACACCTATTTTATTTGTAGAACACCGAGCACAGCTCAGCACCTTACCAGTCCAGGGCAACTGTACAGTTTAAAAAAATTGTGGAAAATGTCACATGAGCCCTTTCACTCTAACCTGACTGTATTTGGTCTCTTTGTGCATTACTGGTAATGCACTTTATAAGAGGAGGAAGAAGGAACAACAAATATGAGCCTTTGAAAGCTGGTTAAGCAATAAAACTTCCATGGCTATTCTTAAGGGAAAACTGACAATGTTTGTGGGTCAAAGTCTGGAAAAAAATGAAGTTAACTGAAAGGTAGGCAGTAAATGAGCTGGCTATTTAGGATTGATATTTTGGTGTGTCCAATAATTAAATCCACAAAGATGGCCTTGATGACAGAAGCTAGCAAAGAAAATGTGTTTCTCCAAGCATTTATTCCTCCATGTGTGTATGAGCATCACAAATTTGTCTTTTGGTACAACGCTCCTCCTTGAAAGTGTGCACCCCATGGTCCAGCAGCAGAGTAAAGCTGCAGATCTTTTGAGTCTCTGGTGTAAACCCAGGCAGTGCTACCATTGGTTTTCCTACAGGCTGGCCTTTTAGTCCTCTAAGTGTTTCTAGAGATATATTCTTGTTTATCTTAGAGAAATCTCTTGGGAAAGTTTCCTAGAATTTCTCTAGATCTGGAGGTAGAGGAGGAAAATGGAATGGAAATGCTGGATTAAATTAAAGGGGCCTTAAAGGAATAAAAATTATCGTTTAACACAGGAGGAAAAAGTGGTTTATTATACTGGACCAAACAGCTAGAAAGACCTTACTTTATAAATGCTGACACAGGCTTATCTCAAAGCAGGGTAAAGGTTATTGCATTAAAGGTTTCAAATCTGGGAAATTCATGTTCCTAGAGTGGGTGCATAAATCTGAGACATTTTTAATCTCACTATGTAAATAAATCTCATCAGAAAAATAAAATTGTATTGCTTTGATTCATTTGCCGTAAACCCTTTTAATTTGATTTTGATTGATAGCTAAACCCCTTGCATTAGAACTTTTTGAAAAAGTTTCAAGATAAGCAATTACTCACTCCCTCTGGGTAACACAAAGTTTTCAAACTTGTGAGAATGTGTTACTCCTGTATAAATTATAACTGGCAAATATTTTTTATATTGTAATTGCATTTTTGTTTTATCTTTCACAGCATTTGTTCATCTTTCATGCCAGACTTTCAAACTCTGCAATGTGACTGACTGATGTGGTAAGTGCAGTTAATTTTAATTCTGATTTTTAGGACTGGATTTGTCAATCAATATTGTTCACTGGAGTAATTCAGTAAGTGTCTCTAATTTCTGAGCCTTTTTTTCCCCTCTCTTTCTTTCTCTTTTCCTTAATAATTTAGAGGTGAAACTTCTCTAAGAGCTACCTGTCAATTTGGTGTTCAGAAATTGAAGGATGAGTGGCTGTTGTTTGCATCCCACATGAACACAGCTCTGGTTTGGCAACAGTAATTGTCAGTAGATTGCCATTAAGTCTGTGCTCTTACCCCCATTCAATAGGCAGCCAAGATGCCAGAAAAACAGCACAAGCTGCATCTTCAAGGAACAAAAGCACACAGGGAGCAGGGGAACCAGCAGTACATGCTCTAAACCAGACAGATCAAATTAATTCCGTGAAGAGGACTGGATTATATAAACACATTACATATGCCAGATATTGATGTAGGACATTATTCTCCCTTATTCACAGGAGATTCTGCTAGTGTCAATAAGAGGTTTACAGAAAGATGTAAAGTGTCATCATCAAGTAGTAACTAATGTTTTAGTTAGCACCATTATTATTTCATATGCAGCATTACCTGATGGGAAAAACCCATTAACTTTAAAACCATAGTTGTGTGCTCTGTATTTCTTCTTGTTTGTTGTCCTTTCAACTTCTCTATCAGCTTTTAACATCAATCAACAAATTCATCCTTTTCCACGTGAATGATGATCCCCTGCTGATTGGCGTGTGTGTATGGAGAACAAGGAGCACAGCAGAGCTGATCCTGCAGCACCCCTGTTATCTAGGACACAGACCTTGGATATTCAGGGTTAACATCCAGAACAGGTAGACTAAAATTATTCTGTCATTCACCTACATTTTTCTAGGTTTTTTAACTTACTTCCCAGTACAGGAACTCAGGATTCCCAATTCCCACCTGCTGTGTTCCAAGGCCTTTCCAGACCCCTGCCTCCTCCAGCTGCATGTGCAGCAGCTCTGCACGTCAGACCTGTAGTCCAGAAAGATGATCCCTTTTTTCTGTGCAGCCAAAATTATGGACTTGCCATGTCAGTGAAGATAATAAGAACTGACTGGCCTAAATTGGACTTGTATTCTTAGTGTGTTTTTGGCAGTGTCACTGCTGTCCCTCAGAAGCAGCCCACATTCCATTCCTATTTACTCAACATCAGTGGTGGGTACGTGTCCCAAGAGCAGCAGCTTCCCAGAGGTGCACGGCAGTGCAGGGGTGCTGAGCACTGCTGCCAGCAGCACCAGCTCCCTGCAGAGCTGAGAGTGTCTCTGCCTGCTGTGCCCCTGCCCCGACCCCACAGGAGGTGGCTGGATGTGTCCCCATTCCCCTGGGCAGATGGAACCTCGCTCCTTGCCTGTCTTGGCTGGAAGCGTTCCCTGGAAAGGAAACAAGCGTGTTTTCCATACACCATTGCAGCATGGCACTGCTGAGGTTCCTGCAGCACCTTTTTCCAGTGCCTTGCTGCAAGTCCTTGGTTGCACCCAGTGGCTGGTTGTTGGCTACCACAGCTCCTTCCCCCAAAACCCTTCCAAGCAGCTCCTCTCTGGCTCAGGTTCTAGTAGGGCTTTTTGTTGTCTCTGAAGATAAGCAAGGACTGTGTTCTGAACCTTTGTTTAGATGCTAAAAGAAACTCTGAACTCTCTGGCTGATAACTAGATGACTTTCATTGGGGGATGCAGCCCCACCATTTCTCCTTGTGAAATCCAGCATGGTGATTTTACTAATATTTTGTTCATCTGAACTCTTCCCCCCTGCCTTCCCCCACCCCCATATGTAGAAAGAGTTATCTAATAAATATCCAAGTGTGTTCTAGCTTTAGAGATGACACACGTTTAATGTGGCTTATGCTATATTATTCTTGCTTAACTTTGAGCTTTTTATTTAGCATTCCAGTTTAGCAGTGGTATTCCACAGGGGATATCGTTGGTTTCCAAATCTTTTGTCAGAGTAATTGAGCATAACATCTCTGCAGGTTTGTGTTTCAAAAGATGCATTATCTTTTCTTGTCCATTTGTTCTAGCCAGGATATTCAAAACTTTTAGTTTTATGGATCCTTTGAAAGAATTTGAGGTTTAGGACTGATAATTTATGTTTCTGCTGAATTTGCAACTCTGCATGTGGTGATTAATACACTTCTCTCCATAAATAAGAAGAGATGATATCTGTAAATTGGTAACAAAACAGAAGAATTTCATTAAATTCTGTATTTTGCAAGAGACTTCCGTCCTTTTAAATCTTTATAAATTAAACATCATCCACGTCTGGCTCACTGAAGAATGAATGTCACATATAAGATATCTCCCTTAAATATTTTCTTGAAAGTAATCTATATGATTTACAACATATTGCAATTAACATTGACCTTTTGTCTGCTTCAAAAGAATGTGAGAACAGTTTTTTGACATCAAAGAGATTTTCTAAATTTCCAAAAATATTCCTGATGAAAGTTGTTCAGACTGGGAAAAATATGTCACCTTCATTTAAAAGTTATGGCACACTTGATAGATTATCTGCCTCTTTCCTAACCTTAGTTCATGCACAAAAGTGTATTTAAAAATACACTTGCATGTAATCATCCTTTAGAAAATGCAGATCCTCAGAAGTCAAAACTAAGAATCCTGTACTTCCTGTTTAAGATCAACTGACAATTTATTCGAGATCTGGAGGCTGCTATTCACTCTCCCATTTCTTTCCAGCCACTTAATTGCCAACGTGCAGCTGCAGTTGAGATCCCAATAAATTTTGGACCTTCTTTCATCCCAAATGTACTTCAAAACAAAGAATAAAGCTCAGTTTTCATAAAAATCTAGATTCAACTTTATTTTACAGTTTGTATTTGTATCAATATTTTGTTCTGCTTTGTCTTTAACCGAGTTACCTGTGGAAATGTTTGTGGAAAGCAGACAAAGGGCCTGTGAATAGGCTCAAATTCTTTAACACAGCAAGACACAGAGTCCTGCTTCTCTCTATTTGCTTACTCTTTGCTCTTTGCTGCTTTGGTCCCCTTCTAAGGTTAGGAAGGCTGCTCTGGCCACAGTGTCCTGCCAATGTGTGACAAGTTGAGACACTGTCCCTCTGGGCACTTGGCTGGAGCAGACTCTCTCTGTAGCAGCCCTGACTTTGATGGCCAAGTATTAACTGTTCACTTGAGGGAGGGGAGGAGAGATCAGAGCACGAGTTAGGCCAGCTGCCAGCCACACTAAAATTACTCCTGTAACCACTCCAATATGTGTACCAGAATTTAGGGACTCCGATATATTCAGACAGAACAGTTTTACACAAAGGGTAGTTGAAATACAGTCTGGAACAAACTGCCGAAGTCAGCAGTAGAAGCAAATAGTGTAAATCAGCTCAAGGAGGAGTTTTTGAAGAAAGCAGGGGAAGAGCACAGAGCTACTAGCTAGAAGTTCAAGTTTCAGATGATGAAACACAGATTGATTTGTATTTCCTGAGGTTATAAGGGCAGGTCTTCATGGACCATATCATTTTCTTTGGGCTGTTAAATGTTCATATGTACTTTTGTGCTGCGTTTCGTCCTCTTTCAGTTTGGAGTGTTGCTTCTTCCCCCCCCATGCTCTCTTGCTTGTACAGCCTCTTTTAGATAAGGTCTTGCAGAGGGGAATGCAGAGCATAGAACCCCTGTTTCCTCTCATCTTGGTGAACTTCACCGAGGCCAGTGTAATCATTTAGTAACAGTGGTGCAACCAAGAGCAGTTTATATAAATTTGCCTGCATTGTGTTGTTTCCTGGGAAGGGCTTCCAAACCATATATGATATTTCTGTGTGTAAAGAAATGTTGACTATGAACTCAAACATGGAAGTGTTTTAGCATTTCAGGAAATCCAACATGGAAGTGTTTTAGCATTTCAGGGTACCACTGATTTCAGAGCTGTCATGCTGATATGGTAAAAAATGCACACTGCAGGTGGGAACAGAACAGAAGCACGGAGGGTGCAGATCCATTTTACTGCTCTTCAGTGATGAGCCTGTATTTTGCCTTTGTAGCCACTGATGTGTTGCTCTTGAGCAGAAAAATCCTGCCAGAAAATATCTTGGACTTTGTTATTGTTGTTTTTTAATATCAAGCAACCTATAAAGATAACTGTACATGTAACAGAGTCCCTTTGCCCTCTCCCACATTTGTGACCCACTGACATTTCTCTCTGGTGGGAGTCCTGAGCTGACTCCATGGACCTCCAGGAGTCATCCTTGTGAAAGGCCTGGGGAGAGCAGCCATGGGTCTGATTCTGAAAGGTGTTGTCTTCATAAACTTTATGTCATCTCAGTATACGCTGAAAATTTTCCAGATTTTGCCTTGAATTTCCCAGAGACTTTTCTTACTCTTTCAGTAGCTCAACATCTTAAATTGCCATTAATAATATTACGTGAAAAAAGAGGATTGTATTTTATTACAGACTTCAGTTTCTAAGTCATAGATTGTAGTATGTTACTTGTTTGTGTAATGTTTTCAGTAGAAAATTGTCAAATGCAAAAGTTTCCCCTTTTTTCTAAATATCTTTGATTGCAGATCTGATAAGTGAAGCACGAAGATGTTTTCTTTATTTTTATGCAAGGGCCCAAAATACAGACTTTTTTTAATGAGATTCCCTGTGCCTTGGGTTTCTTGTTTAAAGTAACATTTATTTTCACTGAGATTTGGGTATTTCCAATATCTTCTGCCTCTGCATAACATTAAAATGTGCTCTTTGTTCATTTGTTACTATCCCTACTGGTGTGCAGGAAGGACATAAAATACCTTTTTAATGATTCCCACATACTTCCTGCATTTACAGTCTCCTTGGAAATCAGACATGCAGTTTCATAACCAAAAAAAAAAAAAAAAAAGGAAAAAAAGAAAGAAAAGAAAAAAAAAAAGAAAATTAACAATTAACTGAACTTTGTAAATGACCACACAGACTTGGTTCTTGCTTCACAGAAATTCATAACCTGTGCTGGCACAATCCCTGCTCTCTGCTTCACAGCCCTAGATGTGCTGGTATTGTGTTTAAAGCCCAACAGAGCAGTAGCAGCAAGACAGAGCTGGCCTTACAGGAATGCAGCAGCCAGATGATTGGATCCCATTTCCCACAGGTTTCCAAGTCTGCAGCTGAAAATGCCTTGTAACTCTATTAGGAAAGA